GAAATAATCTTACTTATATTTGCGAAAATATCATTAAGAAAAAAGTGCAGTGCATTACTACCGTTAACATTTGTTATAATTAGAAAGGCCTTCTCCGTAACTGATCTTCCTTCAAGCATTTTGATGTTCTTGCGCAAACCTCTTCTACCCGAGAAAGGTACTTGGTGTTCCAAAATACTTTTACTGATACTTTAGGCATACAAGGATTGAAACAAGTAAAGGAATGAGAGAGAGTTTGAGAATCGAATCGAGAGTTTCGATATCACTTGAATAATGTCTTTTACCAGCAGATATTGGCATTGGGAACAGGTTTGATTTCAACCAAAATTATATGAGTTCAACCAAATATATGTTGGTATAATGGAAGCAGGGCTTGTGGTGTAAACAATGGTTTGAGTAGGGACAGTTCTATTAGCAGAGAAACAGTTCAAAATTGTAGGAGTAAATGAGAAAAGGGGCATAAACGTTAAACAGTGAGTGCTATTACCAGCACCATCCTGAACAAACTCCACTCCAGGATTCCAGAAAAAAAAAAAATTAACGTGTCTTCATGTTGCTCTCTCTGCTCTACTTTCCCCTTTCTGGGACGCTTTTCTTTGTTCTGTGTAAAAGTATCCAAATTTTCCACTAAGCCATGACTGGCCATATAATATAGCCTCCTCCATCTTCCGTGCTTCTCAACTATGATTGATCATATGGTCGGTGGAAGTTGGTAGAGAGCCCTTCCAAAATGAAGAGGTGGCAAAAAAATTGGTTTGGATATAAAATGGGATAAATTATATTGTACATTATCAAGTGAATGAGTAAAATACTCTGTAACATTGTCAGTATTGTCATCGTCTAACTTTTAAAACACTGTTTACCATATTCCAAGTGCCCAAAAGTACCAGCTACCATAGGCATGATTCAACATTCCACTCTACTGAGGTATCAAGTTCTTGAGGGCCTGAAAAGAGAGCCACCTGCAGCAATGAGATATGGAGAATCCGTGATGTAGGGTCTGCTCATCATGTCCGCTTTTTTGCATAAACTAATTAATCCTCTTCCTATTGGCGGGGGGCCATCTTTTTCCACAACTTTACATGATGAATGAGCACCTTTGTGATAGATGAAATGGCCTTCCTTAGTTATATCAATGTTTGAGGGTCTTGATTAGAGCTTTTAACGAGTCAAATTGAGCCAAGTGCTTACGACTTGTTTGGATTGTATTTTTCTAGATTTTTTTTTATAAAAAAAATGACTGTAGCGATTTGATATATGTGAGATAAAAAGGTGATTGAAAAATGTGTTCAGAAAAAACGTAGCAATTTTTCTTTAGAAAATTGCAGTCCAAACAAGGCCTTAGTGTTCAAGCTCTAGTCCTATGTCATATGATTAGTGTTAGAATTCGGCTCAAATATTAACAAATTATAAGTATTGCTCAAATTTAATTCATTTATTTGTGTGAATATTCGAGTTGGAGCTCGAGCTCTGCTTGTTAGTCTCAACGAGCCGAATTCGAACTCGATTTCGAATTTGAGCTCGAACTTGAATTTGATTTTGGAGATGATTTAATTATATTTTAGTAAATAATATATTATGTAGAATAATTTTAATTGTATTTCTTGATTTTAATAAAACAAATAATAACTAATTTATGTATGATTAAGTTTTAGTAAAATATATTATATATATTCATAATATTAAATGTATTTATTTTTATTTTTATAATTATACATGTGTGCACGAACTATTAGAATAGTTTGCGAATAGGCTTGTGTCTAGCTCAATTATTAAACAAGATTAATACTGTGTTCGAAATCGATCCGTTTATTAAACAATCGAACTTTTTTTGAATTCAAATGAGGCGAACATGAACATGTTTGCAAACAATTCGGTTCAGTAAAAATTCTAGTTTAATATCAGTTGTACTAACTAACTTGATAGTCGTTTTCCTTAATCGAAAGTTTTTTTTTTTTAAATCATATGGCAGTTTTCATTTCATCTTCGTCAATTTTGGCCAACTGATTTTCACTTCAAAAGAAGACTTTCCTTAAAGTATCTCAACAAGTTTTTTTTCTCTACCAAATTTTATTTTCAAAACGTTGGTTAATTTTTTGAACAGCCTTCCGGATAAGGAGTTCGAAGAGATATATGGATAAATGAGAACATGATTGCAAGTTTATGGTACGAAACAGTTGTATAGTGAAAGCAAGAGAATTTGACGCTCCCAAATGTATTCTTTTGTTGCATGAGAAAGCGTCCACATGAACGCTTAAGCAAAATATATTCAATTGGCTGTTTTGGTGTTTAAATTATTGAAAAAAGATGAGTATAATTTAATGTGTCAACCTCATTTAAAATGGTTGGAAATGAAAAGACATACAATCTGATCAATCAATGCAAATTAAAATGGAAGACATATTGTAGTGCTAGTAAAGGCAAAGTAAATTCCCAAGTTGTCTAGAGAGTAGAAAAGATAAATTGCATCCGATCAATACAACTCATGAAGCAAATCTTTTATCTCCTTTTTTTTTTTTTTTTTGGAGCATAATCTTGTGAAGAGTGTGATTATTTCTTGACATCAAAGCTAAAAATCTTTAGATGTTTTATGCTAGCTTCCGGTGAATCACTGATTTTGCAGCACATTAAGATTGATTCCTTCTGTTTTCCGAGCATGTCTAAGATGTTGCAACAGCCGCCAAGGCGTTCTCAATTTTCAAAAACTGAAGATGATCAAGACAAGTATCTTCTGTCGTCATAGAAATGTTAGTCACATTCAGATATAAAAAGTTTTTGACCCCTAATTCTTGAAATGAAATTGTACGTGGGTGAAGAAATGTCTGATTCTTTGGAGAACAATGCACTTAAACTTCTTTGTTTCTACAGAAACTTTTAAGGACAAAAGCCCGATGGAGAAAATTGGTTTTTATAATTTCCAAAAGATTATATGTTGACATAAATTATTTAGTATGAGTGCGAGTAGTGTGCTCACTGAAATTTCAACAGCATCATTCACAAGGAAGAGCTCCAAAAACATCATTCATCGGACTCAGTTAGAACAGGTATACATATGCATGCCTTGTGCACGATCATATTCAACGAAAATGAGTAGTTATTGATGGTGGAAATCATATCATATTGGCTGGCATCTCTGTTTTATTTAGTATATCTTGGCATGAATTTAGTGCCAAAAGGAACATCCAGCTCCTGATCAATCCCTCTTACAATCCCATCGATCATGAGAAGATGACAAGTTAAACTAAGTGGATGCACTATTTTATTGAGCCAACCATGCCAAAATAAATAGTACTATATCAGAATCAAGAAATAAGATAACCGTGGTGGCATTCTCATGCCTCATGGTGAAGCTATGTGATGTGCAGGACAAAAGAAAGTGCTTATAGCAGGCTACAGCTTTATAGAAGTAACCTAAGCTGGAGACTTTATCTTGGACGGTTAGGCTGTACCACCATGGCCACTTTTTAATTCCATACGTTGGTGCACAGTATCAGTAGCCAACCATGCCAAAATAAATAGTACTATATCAGAATCAAGAAATAAGATAACCGTGGTGGCATTCTCATGCCTCATGGTGAAGCTATGTGATGTGCAGGACAAAAGAAAGTGCTTATAGCAGGCTACAGCTTTATAGAAGTAACCTAAGCTGGAGACTTTATCTTGGACGGTTAGGCTGTACCACCATGGCCACTTTTTAATTCCATACGTTGGTGCACAGTATCAGTTCCTTAACAGTAGTGAGTGTGTGTATATATGGAGACGGGCAGGGACGGTCATACCGTCCCTGAACAGTGCACGGCCAGGATTTGGTCCAAAAAAATTATATGGTCTAAATCACTTCTTGTATCTCATTTTTAACAATATGTGTGGGGCCCATAAAAATTTGTTCTAAAGTTACACTTTGTGCAAATAAAGTTACGCCGTGTGAAAACAAAGTTACGTCGTGTGCAAAATGTACAAAATCACTAGGATGAAACCGTTCCTGCCCGTGGTCCGTGTATATATATTAATAAGTACAAGAAGGAAAGGAGAAGATAACATGAAGACAAGCAGCTATATTATATTAATTAAGCAGATAAAATGCAAGTTCATGATGATGACTCTTTCCCCTATAATGAGTGAAAAATATATTTGTAAGACAACCTGCTGTAGCACTAATTCTTTAATTTAATTTTCTCTTTTTGTTACTAATGGAATATTGCTTCACATTAACTTTTCTCTTTTTATTTGTTTTCTTTTTTTTTTTAAAAAAAAAAAAGGAAGAGCATTGGGGGCTAAATTTGTAGTAGTAGTAGTAGTAGTTGAGAGTGGCAAGGTGCTATAAGTAGCGTAATTGACACTTGGGAATTTAATTGCGCAAGGGTGACGCGACAGAGCATTATTCATGCTCAGCAGCCAGCAGCCAGCAGCCAGCAGCGTGCTTCACGATTTATGCAGTGCTTGAAACTTTGAGTTTCTTTAGTATGTTGCGTTATATCAATATCATCGCATTATTCAGGAGTTTAGTTTTCACTCAATCATGACCATCTTTGATTTTAGACTTTAAGTTATCCATAACTATTTTATTGTCAGTCACTTGGATTATACTCATAAAGGATTTAACATACATTAAATTGACATAAAAATAGACTCTCAATGCTTATTATTATTTTTTTTTTTTTTGAAAAAAACAATAAATTCACTCTATGGCGGTACACACACATGCTTGTAAGAAAAGTTCTATATTTGATTGAAAGTAACTCAATGCTTCTTTTTTTTTTTGGGGTTTTCCATTTGCATTTTATGGGGATTGAAAGTAACGCTTCAAAGCCACGTACTTGTGAAAAAAAAGCTTGGCAAAATAATGACATATGAACTTTTATCTTTATTAATAATGTCCAACATAATTACATGGCATGATATATATACAAACAAAGGGTATCATATTCACATCAGCCCTTTGATCCTAGATTGTGTCCCCATATTTTTACACAGGAATACAACAGCGATTTTCTTCCTTTTTTTTTTTTTTTTTTTCCAAGTACATCACATTTTTGGATCTCAGTCTTGGCATTGCTGATTACTCTTAATTTGGTATGGTTGGTGAGAAACCTCTTAAGAAACAAGGTTTCACTTGACAACCCTCTAAGGATATGCTAAGGTTTACATACAAAATTACTTCTACACTAAGGATCTAATTAGGTTGAGGCAGACATGATACTTGTTGTGTAACATGTTCACTAAGCAAACTAAAAGGTTTTTCTTTTCTTGTGTTTTTCATGATTACTCTCCTTCTCCTTCCCCCAGCTTGGTAAATTTACAGCTCACTCCTTGTTCCCCATCTCTATGGTGTTCAACGCATTTGAGATTTCCATGTCACTGAAACAATCGAACCCAAAGTCATGAACGCCAAAATCCTGGCAATCCAATAGCCACGAACAGTTGTCATCCAACAATGGCATCCCTGCAGGATTATCAAAATTTTGTGCAGCAGCTGGAAATTCCCATGGAGCATCAACTACGGGTGCTTCATCCTCCAATAGGTAACTTATCAATGGATCGTAATGATCAGAAACATTCTCAAGAATGTTATCGAGTAAACGGGATTCATCGGAGGATGAGTTTTCGGTTGGAGAGCAAGAGTTCTGATCTTCCGAGCTGGCACTAGCGCTGATAGTGCTGCCACTGTTTATCTCTGGCAATTCAAGCTTTTGATGCTTCTCTGATTCCGCATCAGGCGATGTTTCGGCCACCTTAGTTTCCTTTTGAAGTGGTTCATGAGTGACAGGATCAATTCCCATCTTGAGGAGCTTTTTCTTGATGTGAGTATTCCAGTGATTTTTAATCTCATTGTCAGTTCTTCCGGGCAGTCTTGCAGCAATCTTGGACCACCTAAATGAATAAACAAAAAAAGAATCAATCATGTGACGTAAGAAGTTGCTAACATAATTAATAGTTTCGAATCCTACTAATGGAAGAAAATTCTGCATAGTTAAAATAATTTTAACACTTGATTTTGAAGCCGGCCAACAGTGGCCTGCATGTATTAAAATTTGATCCTAGCTACATCATATGACGAACTAGTTGATACATATGCATGTAGAATAATACTAAAAGTGTAACAATAAAGACTTTTATTATTTGCTAGTTGTTGGCTAGCTAAAAGAGTAACTCAGAATACTCCACTAGCTTACAAGAGGCAGGCAAAACCAGACGTTGATGCCTCTAGCAAAAGATGTTTTTCTTTAGATTGGCTGTAATAAGACCCAAAAATCTGCTGTAATAAGACATCCATCATTACTACATAGACTTTATTGTTTATACAATAAATGAAACTTTTGAACCGGGCCATAATTGACGTATTTTCATTGGTTTCCATGGAAAGTAAACTATCTAAAATATTTTCAATTGAATCAATAATATTTTACTCATGGTACTAGCTAGCTTGTTATTTAGATCACTAGTCACTAATGTTAAGAAAAAAAAAAACATGTGAAGAAGACATGCAAATTAAAGATGATGCAATTTGTAAAAGAATTTTTAAAGGAAAAAAAAAATCTCAAAATAGTTGCATGAAACCATTTTTGTTTGTCAAGATAACGAGTGAAAATTTGTTTTAAACCACAGAAAAACAAATATGTTGCTGCGAGCAAACCGTGAATCTTGACTTCATGCATGCTAATCATAATGCACCTAAAGAATTCAAGACACTAATAATAATATTGTAAACATGCTGCAGGAACCTGTTGCCCAGACGAGCATGAAGATCGATGACCAATTGCTCCTCAGCTTCAGTAAGAAGGCCTCTCTTCAAGTCAGGCCGAAGATAGTTAGTCCACCGGAGCCTACAGCTCTTGCCGCAGCGGCGAAGCCCGGCGAGCTTGGGCACGGCCCGCCAACAACATTGGCCATTAGTAAGGATAAAGCTAATAAGCTTCTTGTCTTCCTCGGCCGTCCATGGCCCCTTCTTCACCCCAAGTTTGTCACAGCAAGGTTGTCTCCCCATGACCGCTACCTATAAGCTAGTTACTAGCCAAGATGAATACTATCTATTACTATTCTGATCACCAATCACAATGGAATATATATATATATGAAGAAGCTAGTCTCCCAATATGCATATGCTATATGATATGAGATCATATGATGAAGCGAAAATTTGCTAAGACTCAAATGTCCCCTACCCACCTATATATACTGGTACCAACTTTTGTGTAAAGGTGTTGCCTTACCTTCCCCTATTCCCATCCTAGCAAATTTTCATAAAATATATTCATATATACATATATATATATTGCCAAATAGTAGTGTATGTTATATGTTTAAATATATTACACTATAGTAATATGGACAAATTAATGGGTGAAAGAGGGAGGGATTCCATGGCCCACCATTGGTTTATTGAAAAGTACAGATGAACTAAAATCTTGTTCTGGTGAAATCAGACTAGAAACACTAGACAAAGGTGGTGGTGATGATAGTGAAACTGATAAAAGGGGTGACCCTAACACAAAGCTACATCTAAGCAATTCCCCAAAATATTTCTTCCCATTTTCCTACACAAACCACTCCCTCATTGCACTCTTACTCAACCATTCCATCACCTATTTCGTCATCACCACGTCTACGTGTCCGTTTCTTGGCGGCCGGGATCCTCTGTGTTACAGTCACCCTGGCCTAACAAGTAAGCCTGAAAGTTGGACGTCCGGCAACCCCCCCGGGAAAACTTTTTCATTTGGAGTTCCAGCAAACTCTGAGGTTAATTATCCCTCAACAATTGGGAGAAATCAGGAATTTATTAACTCAATTAATCTGCTGCAATAAATTGCAAGCAATCTATCATGAATTCAATTAGTCGTTCTGCAAAATCTACGTACTACCATATTCAATTCTTTCTTTAATTTCGGTGTCCATATTGACTTGCTTTATGCTGTTGTCCTACATATTTTGTGTTGTTAAAATGGAGCCCGGCCTTTATATTTTGTGTAGCTAGACATCATGATCAGTATCGCCAAGAACTGAAAATATATGTATGAAAAATCATAAGATGAAGTGAGAAATATGAGATTTAAAAGAAATAAGACGCGGAAAATTTTCATGTTACCCAAGTGCATACAAATGATCAGAAACAGGTGATCAATAGCAGCTGGAGACCAGGCTATTTTGATAATAAAGAAAAGTGGCTTGCTAGTGGAGTATTTGCGTTTCCCATCAGCCTAATTTTTCAAACAGGTCTAGCTATAATAGTCCAGGGGCAGTTCGTCTTCTCACAGTCGTAATGGGTTTGTTGGATTTTGAATCCATTGTTCAAATTTTCTGCTACATTAATAAAAGGAATTTACTGTTTAGAATTATCATGTTGGAAAGTTAAACATTATGATCTGCAAAACCGAGCAGGGAAAAGAATTCACACTTAATTCGACTAAATATACCTTTTCATTCTCTTTTGAGATACGGATGAATAACAGTCCCTGATCAAAACAGGGCCGCCTTATCAAGTAATTCTACAGATGAATAATTGGTTTACCATCTTTCCTTACACAATTTATTTTTCAGTGGAAAATATATACTAGTTAACATGAAAAATAAACTCACGTCTAAAAATAGGGCATGCTAGACCACTGAATACTGTAGTTAGTATACACCTGAAGTTTATACGTAACCGTGCATGTCTTAGAAGAGAGAGACAGACAATTAATTACGTTGTCCTGTGGTATGAGTAATGGATCAATAAATTTTTGAAGTGGACCATATTACATTGTTAATCAATCATGGCATGCGCCACCAGATTTGTCTCCTTATCAGAGCTTAACTCTGGATTGTTCCAATACAATTATTTTTCAGGTTAGCCAATCGGATTAGCGAACAAATTGTGTCCCTCATGAATGCTTATCTTTCTCCAACCCATGAAAAAATTGGATGGGCTAAAGTTTGAGGCAAAGCTTCGACTTGTCTCAGTGTTCTTCACAGAGAAGCCAGATGGGCATACCAATAGATGGACAGATACGTGCCATAATTTCTTGTATGACAATTAATTCCTTAGATTTCTGCTATGTGATGCCTAAATCATTACTAGACACAAATTGTAATACATTATATTATCTGTTCATAACCAGAGAAGAAGGGGGGGCAGGTAGTTGCCCAAATGCTTGGTTTTTGACTTGTGCGTCTAGGCTTAGGTGTGTTGTTGATAATTGTGGACCGTGTGCTTCAACTGCGTACTCAAAAGTCCATTCTGTTAATCTCAGGTAAGTAACAACAAACCTTAGATTTTTCGATCTTTCTAGAAAAATTATTTAATCAGCACAAGAAGCAAAAGTTAAACAAAGGGATCACGGCCCTCACAAGTTCTATTTCAATCCAATTAAAAATGAAGTAATTTTTTTTACATCACAATCTTACTCATTCATACCTTACTTCAATTTATGTACATCTATTTACACCTCAAGGACAACACTGATTCAGACCAGAACTTGTGAGGCTCTCGGTTTTGGTTGATTGCTATCTGTCTTGACTCTTGAGGTCAAAGGAATAGTCGCTCAAGTTATTCGGGTTCCCTCATTATTATTAGTACTAACCAAGACGAAACAGGTCCGTTCCCATTCATTCAATGATAAGAGTCTCGACTGCCCAGATTGCTAACTTGTGGGACTTTTTTTAATTCAATGGCGGCAGATGTTCGAAGCACCTGAGGAGTATAATGCTCCTTAAAGGCTTGTGAATCACTAAACTTGGCAACTATTATTCGTAATTTCTGATTAAAAAAAGAGCGTTTGCACCATTTAAAAAAACAAAAAAGAGCATTTGCATTTTGCTCCATAAAATAAAACCACTCTGTATTTTCTTTGTTCAATTATAGATTTGGTTCCAACACATATGCTTTCCCGTCAAGGAAGGTTAATCGTCTCCTCTTGGGTGAACATTGGACCTGCCCTGCGAATATTAAATTTGTTCAAGTAACTATCGTAGATGATAGATTTTCAGATCATGCAATTTGCTCGCAAACCTGCAGAAATGAAAGATGTGCTTGTACATTCACGAGCAACCCACGTATGAAACTCTAATTTTCTCGAACATGAACAACATGAATCATCATCAGCCACGTATGGATTGTTGGGTGTAACGAGTACGTACCTGGGCAGGTACGTATAACAATTGGTGACACCGAAAATGCCATGCAGAGTACTATATATATATATATACTTCTGGATAATACGCTTGAGATTACGTACTAATTAGTACTTATACAAGTGTCTTCTGTTAATCCAGCGCCAGCATTGAGAAGAAATAATGGAACATGTATGACTATTACCCGACACGGAACAGAAAGGATGAGTTCAATTTAGAATTGGACTAGTATTGTTTGGTAAATTTAGTGTTTTATGGCCAAACTGTTTGCAAAATGTTGAAGTCATGTCATCACTGTAGCCGGTGAAAGTTCACAATCGCAACAACCGCCATACTCCAACATCGCGAAGAGACAAGAATCAGTAAGGGGTTAGGACTGACTATTGCTAACGAGAATAAGCACATAAATGAGATAAACATTTAGATAGGAGGAGTGTGTTAAAAGGGGGATGAATTTGTAACACTTGTATGTTTAACTAGCATTTGCTCTTCTGTAATTTGAATTTTTTTTTTTTAGTGTAAGTGAAAGGATTCGAATTCGAAATCTCTCACTTATATTTGCTTCTCTCCAATCATCTCAATCCTCCAAAATTAAGGGCTAGTCGTGTACCTTTCCAACTTATGTTCATTTTATCCTCCAATTCTAATAGTCAAAGGCGGCATGTGTTACTTGTTAAGGCAGTCTAGTACAATAAATACCCTCGATTATGACCTATCTTGATTCTTGAGTATTTTTGCCCTTTGCACGGCAAATATATGCTCGCAACTCCATTCTTGCCCCTGCATTAGAGGGAAAAAACTTGCACATGATCCATCAATCCTCCAAAATTAAGGGCTAGTCGTACCTTTCCAACTTATGTTCATTTTACCCTCCAATTCTAATAGTCAAAGGCGGCTGGCGATACTTGTTAAGGCTGTCTAGTACAATAAATACCCTCGATTATGACCTATCTTGATTCTTGAGCGTTTTTGCCCTTTGCACGGCAAATATATGCTCGCAACTCCATTCTTGCCCCTGCATAAGAGGGAAAAAACTTGCACATGATAATTAAGTGGGGGATATGATAGCTAGGTAAATCAGAAAAGAAAATTTTTAGAAGCACAAATTGGGGTAGAAAAAAAGTTTCTAAAAAATTAAAACCATCGCCACGTACAAAAACAAGTAGGTGGTTTGGGTCATCTGAGCTGTGATGCAATAATAGAAAATTAGAGAAGGATAAGAAAGAAGAACGGTGTATATTAATGCTATAGCAAGCTAGTCAGTGTGAAAAATTGAATTAAGGTAATGGAATTAAGGTAGGTCTCTCATATGGGACTTTTTTTTTCCCTCTGAAAACATGTTGTCTAAGCAAAATTGCGTGATAGATTCTAATTTTTTGGACAAAATGGCAGCGTTTGATTAGGAATTTTTCAAAATAAACTTGATCCCAAAACAAGTGACATCCAGTCTGACATATTATCTAAACGCTTTAGATACATATGGAGTTGTGAACGAATATTATTATACTCTAAGCTTTTAGAAATGTGACAACAAATATATTATTTTGCCTTCAAAGTATCGAAAATTGTACAATTTATAGAACAATTTGGGAAGCCAAAAAAGAAAAAAAATTTCGCCTAAATTTGCTCATCGTTCACTTTCATTTGGACCAACAGACGGAAACTTATGGGAGCAAATTTGAGCTGACTTCTGTTCCATTCTACTTGTATAGAAAGTAACGCAGATAAATTGTCCCCGGGATACAACTTACCACCAAAGCAAAGAAATGCTTAAACTCATTCTAAGAGCAATTATTCATTTCTTTACCACTTTAATCGGCATCGTGAAGGTTTATTAATTTCTAATCCTAAGAAATGTCTCCACTTGTGGTTATAGCACAGCAGAAAGCGAGTCTTAAGGGCAAGATTAACACCATTATGCCTTAAGCACCATCATGAAGCACATTTAAAGCGACACGTGAGCTAACAAATCAAAAGTACAGATATCGAACTAAAATTACCCACCAAAAAAAATAATA